TTGATCATTTACAGCCACAGAGGATGCTGTAGCCAAGGAAAGAGATTTGTTTGGTGCAACATTGTTAGACGCTAAGGAAGGAGCTCAGGGTGGGTCTTTGGGGTTATGAAGGAGTCCATCTGATCAACCTAAGTGAAGGAGCATCTATCTTGCAGCCTGGGGATTTGCTTCAACCTTGTCTACAATTACTAATACCTATAAACACCAGGTCCTCTGCTAGATCCTAAGGATGCAAAGAAGACCAAGACGTGTCCGGGAAGAGGATGTGGGGTGGGTAGACATGTAAACAAAGAATTAAATACCAAGTGGAGTGTTAGAGGTGGATACATGGTGCTTTAGACGCTGTGGTTAAGCAGAAGAAAATTCTACGTGAGAGAGGAGAACGGGTAGCAGAGAAAGCACGAATGTTGGACTTGGGTAGACCTTGGGTCCAACGTCACCATCACCACTACAATCTGTAAGGACGAGTTAGCAACCTCTCTCTAAGGTTCGGTTGGTTTTTGCAACTGCAGACGGCGGATGCTATCATTGAATTCATCAGTGTTGTCGCCAGCTCCCATGCTGCATTTGGGTGAATTACAAGAAAGCTCTGCTTCTTCAAGTGGACATGGCCCAACATCAGAGGGCTTGGCTCTGTGAGTGGGATGCAGAACGTCAGCTGTACTCTTCACTTAAACCACCTGCCGCATCTGTCTGTGGTGGCCCTGGACCTCAAGGGTGAATGTTCACAAACAACTTGGACTGTCAACATCATCCTAACACATACGCATTAGTTTGCTACATGGCTGTCACTCAACTACCAGCCCTTCTCTCTTGCTCCCTATACACTAGTCAAGGTTTTATAGGAGCATGGACATTTCAGTTGAGTATTGAAGGGTGCCATTTTTGAAACAAGGAAGAACCATTTACAGGTCTTGAGAATGGTAAGAAATCATGGCTGCAGGAGAGGAAGGTGTCATGGATAAATATAGGTCAACTGGGAGAACCCATAATGGAGACTGTAGTATGAATCAATTTCAAGAGAAATAGTGATTTCTTCCTTATACACACTGGCTGAAGTGTGAGCAATGTGTGGGATATTCTGATAGTCTGGGATATGTTACTGGGATTTAGTGGACAGGCTGTTGCTAGACCTAGGGATTTGGAATTTCCTGGGGTTAACAGTGAAATAGCACAGACAGAGCGGATTCCTCAGGAAAGCAAAATGGCGAACAAGGCCAGAGCCGAATTCACTGGCATGATGAATGCTATGGTCCAGTCAGTCACTTTACCGTTCGTACAAATTTCATGCCAATCCATGCCCTTCCCTTCTTTCTACTATGGCTAGTTTCTTCCTCATTTTTGTTCCTATCAGAGAATTCTACTCTAATGGGAACATAAATTTAGTGAAACAGATACAGCTGTGCCACTAAAGCTTCCAGCAGTTCCTGAGACTGGCAAAAACCCTTCAAGAGCACCTGTTTTCCTTATTTAATAAAACTACTGTTATTTTTTCTCTAGATATTTTACTGCATTAAACATGTCCTAATTGCCCACATTCATAAGCACAAACTTTTATACAGCAGGCATGCATTCACAGGTACTTCCAATCTTGCTTTGCCAGTGGATCTAAATTTTAGTATCCTTCTTACTTGCACAGAACTGGCTCTAAATCTAAAATTTGACTATATAGGGGCTCCTGGGTGGCTTGGTCGGTTAAGCATCCAACTCTTGGATTTGGCTCAGGTCACAATCTCATGGTTCATGGGCCTGAACCCTGAGTCAGGCTCTGTGCTGACAGTGTGGAGCTTGCTTGGAATCCTCTCTCTCTCTCTGCCCCTCCCCTGCTTGCTCTCTATCTTTCTCTCAAAAAATAAACATTTAAAGTTTGATTATATTAAAAATGCAAGTCAGACTAATGACAAAGACTATCCGAAATTATTAGAAAGAGTACAAGAAGTAAACTGGAAGAAATCTATGAAGATCCTATTTAGAAAGTAGGCTAAAAACCAAACAAAAACCAACCCCAACAACTTCTACCGTGGAAAATTTAAAACTTTTACAAAAGGAAAGAGAATACTACGAAGGGCTCCCACTCTGCTTAAACAGATTAGCACTGTTGCCGACCTTCTTTCATCTAGATTCGTCCTTTAAAAGTGAGTTATTTTTTTTTAATTTTTAACGTTTATTTATTATTGAGAGACAGAGAGACACAGAGAGTGAGCAGGGGAGGGGCAGAAAGAGGGGGAGACACAGAATCCAAAGCAGGCTCCAGGCTCTGAGCGGTCAGTACAGAGCCTAACGTGGGGCTTGAACCCACGAACTGTGAGATCATGACCTGAGCTGAAGTCAGTTGCCCAACCAACTGAGCCACCCAGGCGCCCCTAAAAGTGCGTTATTTTTAAATCTTTCTTCAAATGAAGAAGATAACTAAGCTCAATCCAGAAAAGGCATTCTCCCCAGGGTGCTTTCTTCCATAGCTTTGATACTGGGAGCTCTAATCGGAGGTAAACAGGTCTACTTCATGGACATTCATTAAGGCAAACGCCTTGTTCTACAGAAAACAGCCATTTAAAAATGGAAGCAAGAAGGATTTTTTTTTAAAAGATTATTTTAGGATTTGATATCTAGTACATTTAGAAGGACAATTTTTTTTTTTTTTTTTTTTAAACAACATGCTCATAATCCAACTTCAGAGTTGAGGCTTGTTTTTTTGTAAGAAAAAAAAAATCCCACGATTCTAAATTATGTGAATATCCTCCCTGTCAACTGAGATCTGAAGTTCACTGTATTGTCCTATTCTTGGGCATTTTACAACACTCAAGATAGCTGAATCACCATCTGTTCTGTGGAAGTGGAACTCATGAGTGGCCACTGTTTTCAGTAGCATTTTGCTGAATAAAAAGCTCTGACAATTTAGTGAGAAAGAGTCCACCATAATTACTGGGTGAGGTCATTAACTTTCTAATCCTTTGCAATAGCTTATTCCCCTATAGTTTGGTATTACTAATAGCATCTCAGTTGAAGACACATAAGAAAATAAGCTTATTAAGACAGGTATGAGGCAAAAATGCATTCATCCAGAAGATCTGAACTCCACTTCATTAAGAGTGATGATTTCTTTGATTTTGTCCCTTCTACAACTTATTGGAGGACTTACTTTCTTATGTTTATTTTTTTAATGTTTATTTTTGAGAGAGAGAGAGAGAGACTAGTGAGCTGGGGAGGGGCAGAAAGAGGGAGACACAGAAACCAAAGCAGGCTCCAAGCGCCAAGCTGTCAGCACAGAGCCTGATGAGGTGCTCGAACCCATGAACCGTGAGATCAAGTCAGACGCTTAACCAACTGAGCCAACCACGCGACCCTGGAGGACTTTCTTATACTTCTTCAACACACAGTATTTAAAGGTTCCTTCCAATTTTCTTTTTTTTTTTAATTTTTTTTTTTAATGTTTTTATTTATTTTTGAGACAGAGAGAGACAGAGCACGAGCAGGGGAGGGTCAGAGAGAGAGGCAGACACAGAATCTGAAACAGACTCCAGGCTCTGAGCTGTCAGCACACAGCCCGACGTGGGGCTTGAACTCATGAATTGCGAGATCATGACCTGAGCCAAAGTCAGATGCTTAACCGACTGAGCCACCCAGGCGCCCCTCCTTCCAATTTTCTATCCCCAAATACATCGAACAAGAATACTCATTTCTTTTAGAAATATAATAGCATGAAAGATTAATTGGAAAGCCTGTCTTCAATCCATGGTCTACATTAAAAACTCTCCGGACTGTCCTCTTAAGATCTTGGTCAACACTGACTTGAGTAGAAGTTTAGAGAACACTATCATGAAGTCTCTTTTTTAACCATGTAGCCTGAAGGATACTTGAATCCATCTGTTAACACACAGTATGAGCAGACCGCCATCACCTGATACATGCCGAGTACTTGAGAGCAATACACACAATATTTACAAGGCAGGACTGAGCTAGAAAAGAAAGAGTACAATAGCATTGGCACGAAATGTAACAAAGCAAGCCAAGTGGTGTTTCAGGCACTTTTACAGGAGGAATTCCTGTAATGGGCGTACCCATCTACAACATCCTGGGTGTTCTGATTTCAGACAACCTACCTCTATTTCCAACCCAATTAACAAAGGGCAGGTTTGTTACGGACAGGGATATATTGCTTATTTCCTGACAGTTGATGGACCAATCTCCAGGACACATACATTTCCTTTAGATTGAAAGATTCATTAACATAACTGCCATCTATGGGCTTTTGCGTGGTAAAGCCAAACAAATATGGGCATTCGGCGGGGGCGGGGGGCGGGTTGTGGAGAATGGTATTACGCGATACTTCACTCCCTTTCTAAGAAAAACAAAAATGTGAAAACGCACTGATTTGAAATATTAAATATGACGTTAGGAAAACTAGGGACATAAAAGACAGTAGACACACAACGCCAATTTCCTGGTTTTGATGATGTATCATAGTTCTGTAAGATGTTACTGTTGAGGAAGGGGGGTGATGTGTATACTGGACCTCTCTGTATTAGTGTTCCATGAGTGTGTGATTATGTCAAAATAAAGGCTTCATTAAAGATGAGAGGCACGTATTTACTGAAGTTTAAACAACAACACGGTTCAGAGAACACACATGGCCATTGGGGGCGGGGCATCAGAAAGAACGGTTACTGAACTTCCATGTCAGAAGACACGGTTTTGTGCTCTTGTTCTACTACGGAGGACATGTGACACAGGCAAGTAAGTTTCTTAAATTCTAGGTTTGAGCTCTTTCACCCATAAAATGGAAATATCATGCCCACGTGTAAGGTTATGATTAGTTCTTTCCCCCCTACCCCCCGCCCTGCCCCGCGAGATCTTTCACTGTGAAAGCGAAGTCTGTTCTTTTTCCTTCCATAGATCAGAGCACTAGAGATTCCTGCTGCAGATGAACTCAGTTACCTGATTTTCTCCTACAGGAGAGAACAATGTTTAAAGGTTCGGCATGAAAAGAGCAGCTGACTTACCAACTTCATCCTGAATCTCCTCGGCCACGGCAGGCACATTGTAGAGCAGGGACAGAGACTGGTTCATGCGCTCGTAAATCACACGCAGATGTGTCATAACCTGCGATAAAGGGAAAAGTTTTTTCCTCACCGAGCACCACAGATAGATACAAATTTCCAAAATAAAACTGACAAAATGCTGGAACTTGTGACCTAAAAGGGCATTCTTATTTTTCTTGTTCTTCCATTTTTTTATTCTCTAACTTCAGAGCTGTTTTCAAGTTCCTACTGTATTGTATGCTTGGAGCCATAAATTACTAGGCCAACTGAAAAGAGCATTTCTGCCCAACACTGATTCCTAATATTTAGACTCCCTAAGTAACCCCTAATGCTCTAATTATATTTCTGCACAAATTTTCCAAAAGATAGGAACACATTTCAATTTGACTGGATCTTTCTCTTCCCCCCTTCCGTCCTCCCTCTTTCTCTATCGATCGATCGATCGACCTACCCACCTACCTACCTGTTTAAAATTCTTCTATTTCAGGAAATGTAAAATTTCAGATTGCCAGAGGTAGATTTCATCTGTCAACCATTGGGAATGTGAATAAAACACATTATTACAAGGGCTTCACCTAGGCTCCCATTTATATCCAAGCACTGTGGTAGCAGTGGAATTTATGATTGCCCGTCACAATCTAATTGAACCAATTTTAGAGGTTTTGGTTAATACGACTTTGGTTTTCTTCACTTTAGTCATCAGAGTTTTTTTTTTTTTTTTTCAACGTTTATTTATTTTTGGGACAGAGAGAGACAGAGCATGAACGGGGGAGGGGCAGAGAGAGAGGGAGACACAGAATCGGAAACAGGCTCCAGGCTCTGAGCCATCAGCCCAGAGCCCGACGCGGGGCTCCAACTCACGGACCGCGAGATCGTGACCTGGCTGAAGTCGGACGCTTAACCGACTGCGCCACCGAGGCGCCCCTAGTCATCAGAGTTTTAAATGGATCCTTAAGAATCGGCACCATGGACACTCAGGATTTTTATATTCCTTATTATTTTCATAAATCAGGAAACGTCAAAGCCCATGTTGGTGTAAGACAAGCCTGTAGAATTTACCAGGTATTAAAGAACTCTTGCTACAGAGGTCAAGTGCCCATAAGTACTCAGGGAATACCTTGCAAGGCCACTGTGCTATCAAGGTTGCACATGATGACCACACTCAGTGCTCACCTGGGACCGGATCTGAGCAGCTTTCTTTGGGTCCACCATGCGTACGTGTTCAAAATGCTTCAGGGTGTGTTGCCTGTCCTTCTGTTCAGCGCGGACATACTTCTTTAGCATGTTGAACACATGACGAGGCTGTCGTGGAAAAAAAAAAAACCCACACCTTTCAGGTCTGTGCAAAATACTGCTTCTTCCAGGGGTTCTGGGTCAGAGATCCTACGAACTCATCCCATCATGTGAAAGGATTATAAGTCATCTTTTTGCAATTTTCCCACTACTTTCTTAATGGGTAATTACTTAGTTGATTGGCCATTTTTCATTTTGACAAGAGCATTTAGCATTCGGCATACAGGATGACTGTCCATAATCAACATTTTCTTTTTAAATGGCAGTATACTGCTACAGAAAGAGATGATTTTTATTTTTAAGAGAGAGAGAGAGAGTATGTGCAAGGGGGGGAGAGGGGCAGAGGGAGAGAGAAAGAGAATCTCAAGCAGGCTACATGCTCAGCGCAGAGCCTGATGTGGGGCTCCATCCACAACCCTGGGATCATGACCTGAGCCAAAATCAAGAGTCAGACGCTCAACCAACTGAGCCAGCCAGGTGCCCCAAAGAGATGATTTTGGAGCTGTAATATTTACGTTAGGTCCCTCCCCTCTCCCCAACCAAACACATAGGGGCATATGTAAGACTACATTTCTACATGCGTAGTCTTAGTGGTTATCTCCATAGTAACACTGCAGAAATAACCCCATCACCAGTAGCATATAAAATACAATAATCAAGATGAGAAAAATAATAGACAACTTAACCACTACTAATTTGTAGGCCAAGGAATAATTCACAAGCTTTCAGGCACGTTAGTTTCCCAGGAGAAAGGCCAATGTGAAACTGTAGTTATTTTACTTTGAAATGTAATTAAATTCTTTCTATGCCATCAGATTCTAATTCTTTCAGCAACAATTAAGTTTCTTAAGTGCTTTTTTTTTTCCTGATTGGTTATATTTCATTTTTACTCTAGAGTTACTTGAAAACATTCATCCTAATAAAAAAAGGACAAAGGCTCCTTTGCCTTCAATGATTCCATTGCTATGTGTATTCTACTATAGCATCCTACTATGTGATTTTGTGAAGTGATTTCCAAAGATACACATTTCTTCTTCATTAAAACAAACAAACAAGCAAACGAACCCTATGAAAGTTCATGTCAGGAATAGAATTTTCGCCATTTGGGCAAACCCAGTTATTACTAACCAGGTCATGGGCACCTTGAAAACTAGCTGGAAGGTACAGAATTCATTTCCAGAGATGGTATATTGGGAGTAGGGTGAAGGCTGTAGCATTTTATGGGATGTTCCTGCTCTTCTCCTTTGGCTGAGTTAGGGGTCACCTCCCCGATATCCCGGGGAGAAGTGGTATCCTTTTTTTATACCCCATGAAATGCTACATATATCTCCATTATTGCACTCACCACAGTCTATTAAATTATTTCTCTTGTATTTTCTTTTTAAAGTTTACTTATTTTGAGAGACAGAGAGAGAGAGAGGAAAAGAGAGAGAGAAACCCAAGAAGGTTCCGCGCTCTGCTCTCAGCACAGGGCCTAACGTGGGGCTGGATCCAACAAACCGTGAGATCATGACCTGAGCCAAGATCAAAAACCGGATGCTTAAGTGACTGAGCCACCCGGACGCCCCCAATTACTTATGTTTCTGACTGCTTTCTTGAACTGTGACATCTTTAAGGGCCAGATTTGGTCTTTCTTTATCAGGGATCACACAGTACCCAGTGCCTGATGCAGAGAGGGTACCCTGTACTTGCTTGCTTTAGCTGTCTGCAGGCCACCTTCCTACACTTAAGAAAGGAAACAAATACAATAAAAAGAAAATAAGCCTGTGCTCATCTGCCTTATTTCTTTCATCCTACAAGAAACGTATTTCTCCATAATTCCAAAAAAAGGCAGACATCACAGCTAGCAACATAGCTTTTGGCAATGCATCATTATAATTCTCATTTGTACTCTGAAGTCTAGTTGAATCTACAAATCAGAGAATGATCTTTTAAACCCCAGAGCAGAAAAGTAATAAAAGAGATAACAACTGACCAGCTACATTGATTATATATATGTACATATGTGTGTGTGTGTGTGTATGTATGTATATATTTAAAAGACAATTCGTTTAACGGCAGCATATTATTGAATGTAATGGATACTTTATATGCAGGATTGTGCAGTCAGGATATTACAAACCCTTGATCCCCTTGCTTGTTATTTAACACCAAGGCCTTTAAAAAACTCCCTCTAGGAGGGAGGCAAACCATAAGAGACTCTTAAATACTAAGAACAAACTGAGGGTTGATGGGGGGTGGGAGAGAGGGGAAAGTGGGTGATGGGCATTCAGGAGGGCACCTGTTGGGATGAGCACTGGGTGTTGTATGGAAACCAATTTGACAGTAAATTATATTTAATATAAAAAAAATAAATAATTCCCTCTATTTCTATCACGATGATCCCTCCAAGGCTGGAGACAGAAAGGATCTAATTGCATCTATTCACAATGTCCCTGCCCCTGATGTGTGCAAGCTGACTGACTGCATGTGCTTTCTTAGCTCTATTTCTCTATTTTCTCTTGAAAAGGCTTCATTGTTTTGAGGAAAATGGAAATTTTTTTTCTTTTAAAGAGTTCATATAAGAAAAAAGACTTCAATTAAACATAAGGATTGCTTTCTTATAACCTTCTTTCCTTCTTATTTATTTTGCAGCCAGTCACCTATGAATGTTTCTATAAGGCATTTTGTCTTGAAACGCCGGTCACCAAAGAGCATGTGCACCAGAATATAAAGGCGCCACACTGGTCTTGTCATTACTGCATTAAAGCCGAATCTCCAATTGGACAATGGAGGGGTAACTTCTGACAACTAACATTTGGGTCTCCCCTTTTTCTTCCACTATCGCCCAAAACAGCACACATTCCCACTTGCAAATTATTACTGTTAACATGAATTTTAAAACGAATTTGAGAGTCCCCCATATTATCCAGGCCTCAAATTTTTCTTCTGTGCAATTCAGATAAGAGTATCTTTCATACAGAGTACACTGAGTATTAACCACGTTCTGTGTTAGCTGTCGAGGGTAATGCTTAGTTCACAGCAGGTGCACAGTACACATCTATTTCTTCCACTCAGTCCTTGCCTCCAATGCCTAGCCCCTTTTCTTTCCTCTAAGCAGTAACAGCTCAACACTTATTGGCTATTTATATGAATGAGTGAGACCATGTGCTTTATGCATAGTAACTCACCAAATCTTCCTATCAACCCTATGACTGGGGTTTTATCATAGATAAAACACAGCACAAAGAAGGTAGAGGGTTATATGGCTGGTTACACAGCTAGTTACAGAGCTAGTCCGTGGTATAGTGAGAACAGAGAGTCTGGCTCTGGCTCTTAACCCTGTTCTCCCGATCAGCTATGTGATCATGCCTTTCAAGGAAACTCTAACATGGGTCAAGCTAAAAATAATTCCAAAAGCAACTTGCATAGTTGAATACAGAGAGAAATAATTGAGTGGTTAGAAATGAGTCTGTTCTAGGAGTCCTCGCCTAAATCTCTAGTGCTTATAAGCTCAGATGATATTCTTTGGGGACATGATCACACCCGCTCTTATCATTGTGCAGAAGACCATCCAGATTTAGCTTATTCAGTCTCTCAACTGCTGTTCCTGCTTTCTGGCACTCCATTTTCAGCTACTGTGTCAGATGTAGGGAGGCGAAATGGCAAGACAGGAATGTCCTTTGTCAATTTGTTTAGGATTACTAGAAAACGATTAAAGGTATTAGTTAAAAGTTAGGCTTTTATGACACGCACAGATTCTAGTTCTCCATCCATCCTTCCTTCCTTATCGCCTATTAAGATGGAAAATTAAATGGTCATTGTGTTCACATGTTTAAAATTGCTTATCTTATTTAACACCAACATTTCTTCATTTCAGAAATATATTTCTAACTTCCCCCAACAAATCCCTAGAGCTTGACAATGAACCAGAAGCACACCAGGATCTCATGATTCCCCAAGGCCTTAGCATGGCTTGCCCTCACTTTACCAGGAAACAAAGCTCCTGCAAGAATAATGAGCCCTAAGAGCCCATTGTAAGCTATGACCTCATCATTGTTTATATGAGCTCAGACACACATTGTGTGTGTGTGTCTAATATACACATAAGCCTTTTTCTTCCTAATGCCTACGCCTCGGGACATGAGATAATTCAGGAAGACATTACCATGCCCCTCAATAAATGAATTACATGGCTCTGCTCGGTTGATGCATCCATGCAAACACATTTCTAAGAATCGTGCTTAGAAATGAAAAAAAAAAAAAAATCAGATTAGCTCTTATGTTGGAACAGGCAGATATATCACACCAAATAAAATGGTGGTTATGTCTGCACCTGAGAAACAAATATCATTCTTAGGTAACAAAGAAAAACATTAACATTTCTCTATGCTTTTATATCTTTCATTTGCTTTAAGTAAAAAAAAAAAAAAAAAAAAAAAAAAAAAAAAAAAAAAAAGCCAAAAAGGGCGTTGCCTTTGGTATATGATTCATTGCATATTTTAATCAAAGAAGTAATTGCTTTTACCACTTTTAGCCAGAATACAGAATTACCAAGGATTAAAACTAGTTATTTCTAGAGATGTACCATCCATGCATTTCATCCATACATTTCAGGATAAAAGGGAATCTCTTGGGGGTTTATTTCATTATGCTAAGACAAAGATAAGTTTCTTAAAATTGTAATTAAAAGCACAGTAATATACAAAAATAAGAGAAAAAAAATCTCTACAGAAATGTATTCTCTTAAAGTAACTGATTCTACTATTGTCACAATAGTTACATTTATGACAAGATTGTTCGGATGATTAGAAATACGAGCGTAAGAATTCAGTGATTCAAACATATTCACAGGAAACAGAGTGTAAGGAACCTGTGTTTAACCTCTATGCATTTACTTCCAATCATTCTCAAGTCTTTAAATCTTCCGTAACTAGTAAATCACGTTTTTTTTTTCTGACAAATTTCCCTTATTTCACAATTTACATATTGTACATATAAATACTACAATCTGATTACACTGGCATAGG